GAAGCCTGGAAAGGAATATTAGGCAAGCATGGTGTTGGAAACTGCAATGATAATGGTCGCCTTCTGTTAGAATTCTGTGCAGAGCAACAGCTCACCATCACTAATACTATCTTCCAGCAGAAAAATAGTCTGAAGACAACCTGGATGCACCCCAGATCTAAGCATTGGCACCTCATTGATTATGTCTTGGTGCGACGGAGAGATGTCCGCGATGTCCATCATACCCGTGTGATGCCAAGTGTAGAATGCCAAGCAGACCATTGGCTTGTGCGCTGTAAACTTAACTTCAATCTTAAATTCAAACCTAAAAGGGGCAGTATCCCAAGGAGAAGACTCCAAGTTAACAATCTCCAATCAGCCACAGTGAAAGACGGATTCCAGGCAAATCTTCAAACTAGGCTCGAAAACCATTCCATAGATTCTGTAGATCCCTCTCCTGAAAGAATTTGGCATCATATTAAAAACAGCATCCTGCAGTCCTCTGAAGAATCCTTGGGGTTCTCCTTCAAGAAGAACAAGGACTGGTTTGATGAAAACAATCAAGAGATCCAGGAATTGTTGAGGAAGAAGAGAACTGCTCACCAAGTGCTCACCTTGCACTGCCATCCTGTCATGTAAGAAAAGCAGCCTTTCGTCTTGCATGCAGCAAGCTCCAACAGAAACTTCGTGACATCCAGAACAAGTGGTGGATCAATCTAGCTGCAAAAACTCAATTATGTGCAGATACGGGTGATCACAGAGGATTCTATGAGGCCTTGAAAATAGCATACGGGCCTACATACCAGGTCCAAAGCCCTCTACCCAGCACTGATGGTCAAACGCTTCTGACAGATAAAACCTCCATTCTGAATCGATGGTCTGAACACTTTCAGGCTCTTTTCAGTACCAACCGAGTAGTCCAAGACTCAGCAATTCAGTCCATCACACAACAACTGGTGAAGTACGAATTGGATACTGCCCCCACTTTAGGAGAAACCCTCAAGGCCATTCAGCCGGTGAAAATTGGCAAAGTAGCTGGGGTTGATGGAATTCCACCTGAAGTCTGGAAACATGGGGGCCTTGCACTCCATGCTAAATTTCACAAGTTTGTGGTGCGCTGTTGGGAACTAGGCCAACTACCATCAGACCTCTGTGATGCATTCATCATCACTTTGTAAAAGAAGAAAGGTACTAAATCAGACTGTTCAAATTACCATGGTATTACTTTGCTCTCCACTGCTGGCAAAATCCTGGCAAGAATACTCTTGAACAGACTAATATCCGCTATAGCAGAGGGAATTCTACCTGAAAGTCAGTGTGGTTTCAGAGCCAACAGAAGTACCACAGACATGGTATTTGTTCTCAGACAACTGCAAGAGAAGTGTGGGGAACAGAACAAAGGTCTCTATGTAACCTTTGTCGACCTCACCAAGGCTTTCGATACTGTGAGCAGAAAAGGTCTATGGCAGATTTTGGAATGTTTAGGACGTCCTCCCAAGTTCCTTAAAATGATCATCTCACTTCATGAGGATCAGCACGGCCAAGTCAGATATGGCAACACACTTTCTGAGCCCTTTCTAATAACGAACAGTGTGAAACAAGGCTTCATTCTCACACCAACCCTATTCACAGTGTTTTTCAGCATGATGCTCCAAAGGGCCACTGCAGACCTCAATGATCAGGATGGTATCTACATTCGATACAGTACTGATGGAAGCCCATTCAACCTAAGGTGACTGAAGGCCCACACTAAGACCTTAAACCATCTTGTCCGGGAGCTGCTTTATGCTGATTATGCTGCCCTTGTTACCCACACAGAAGCAGCTCTGCAGCATTTAACATCCTGCTTTGCAGACGTAGCTGAGCTCTTTGGGCTGGAAGTCAGCTTGAAGAAGACAGAAGTTCTCTATCAATCTGCACCTCAGGAAGTCTTCCATCATCCCCATATCACCATTGGTGAATCAGAGCTCAAATAAGTCCAGCAGTTTAATTACCTAGGTAGCCTCATCTCCTCGGACTGTAAGATTGATGGAGAGATAGACAACAGGTTAGCAAAGGCATATAGTGCCTTTGGAAAGCTTCATAAAAGAGTTTGGCAAGATAAACACTTGAAGAAAAGTACAAAGATCAGTGTTTACAGAGCCATTGTGCTGTCTACTCTCTATACGGATCTGAATCACGGGTCATCTACCGCTACCACCTGCGACTCCTAGAACGCTTCCATCAACGCTGCCTCCATACAATCCTAAACATTCACTGGTCAGATTATGTGACTAATACACCTGTTCTAGAAGAAGCAGCAATCACAGGTATTGAGGCCATGTTGCTGAGAACACAGTTGCGCTGGGCAGGGCACGTCTCAAGGATGAAAGATCACCGCCTCCCTAAGGTCCTGCTTTATGGTGAACTTGCCACTGGCTGCCGCAAGAGAGGAGCCCCAAAGAGAAGATTCAGGGACTCCCTGAAACAACATCTCAGCCTGGGCCATATTGATCAACATAACTGGTCTACTCTGGCCTCCAATTGGGAGGTCTGGAGACACACTATCTATAACGCTGCTGATGCTTTTGAGAAAGCATGCAGGATCACTCTTGAGGAGAAAAGACAATGCAGAAGTACTCGTACCTTGCAGAATATACCACCTAAGGAGTCTTTCTGCTGTGCCTTTTGCAACCGGACTTGTCTATCTCGTATTGGCCTTTTTAGCCACCAGCACACTTGTAACAAATGTGGGTAGAGCCCTTCCCAAATCTTTGTTCGCGAAGCCTAGCCATGATGATGAGCTGTTGGCAGCAGCTGGTTAGGAGACAAGTCCATAAGTTAACAACTCCATTCTTTAAACACTGGCATCAACTCAACATGAGTGCATATTTTGTGTTTGCCCCATGGACCAATCAGCCAATGTGCAGCTGATCTTCAAAAAGAGAAAACATGAAATAATTCACTTGGACATCTTATAAGCAACATATAAGCAAGGTTAGTATTGATCTAAACTGATCGACTTTGGGATTGTGACTATAGCCATATGAACCTTTAAAAATCATAACTGAAGGTTTCAAAGCAGGTTATGAATTCACTGAGCCCTCCCTCTCACTTGATTAATCATTGATTTATACATATATAATGACTTTGACTTATGGGGTAGTTTATGTCGCAATGTGCATGATATATGGATTTAAATAGACTAAAGAAAGGGGAAAAGGAACCATCTGTTCTCTAGAAAACCGTCTGCTGTTTATTCAGCAGGGATTCAAGAACTGTTTGAAAAATGTGTTTAGAAAGCCATGAGTAAATTTTCCAGATTTCCCATGCTGTCTGGATGACATTCTCATATATTGCCCAACAAACAAGGTTAGGAACTCAAATTTTTCAACTTTTGCAAGTCATTATATTTCATAAGTTATTCAGAAGTCTTTATTTTTATGAACATATATAGTGGGTCTTGTCCTGATCTTCACAGTGCTCATGGAATACTGTTTTTGCAGCTATAGGATGGATACAGAGATCCCAACACCCCACTGCCCAAGTTCAAACACGAAAATGAAAGTGGCATTTCTTGGGAGTAGCAGGGTTTTTTTTAGGACACATATTTAAAGTAGACTTACCTACATACCTAGTAGGGCTTGTCAACTGAGAAATCTCCTTGTGCCCTTCTCTTGTGCAATATGAACAAGTTAACAATCATAAGAAAAACACTTCTGCATATTGTTAAATTTACACATGCAAACTTTGTATGTTCTTCAACAGGATGACTCATGCATGCAAACTTAAGCAAATGGGCAGGCACTTGTGGGATCAGGGCTTAACTTTCTGCCTGAAAGGGAAAAATCATAGAATATAGATCGCACAGAACCACAGAATTACAGAACATGCAGAGTTGGAAGGGACCCATAAGCATCATCTTGGCCCTGCACAGGACTCTGCAGCAGTGAAAATGCAGAGGTGGACTGGTGCGTGCTCCAGAAACTATAGACAGCAACTGCAGAGGCAGTTGCAAGTTTTTTGTGTTCTACTTTTTCTTTGTTAGTTGGGTTTTGGTTTTGATTTTTATTCTTTTTTAATACTACAGGGCTGTTGGTTTGTAAATTGAACATACCTGTAGCAAGCTCAGTATTTAACACCACGGTGGAGAATAAACTTCCTGCCAAAAGGGCCTTTTAAAGTCAACCTCTCCAGAACCTTCACGCATGACGTCTTCTGAAGCGCTCCCACGCCAACTATGGAGACAAAACCCGCTCCCAGGCCTCCCAGACGCCCTCTGGGGAGCAGAGCCGGCCCAGCCCGGAGGGGTCAGTGCTGCCGCGGCCACCGGGAGGCGACGGGGCAGGAGCAAGGACCGGGGCCGGAACCATGGCTCCTGCCCCACTGGCTGAGCTCGAGGACAGGGCAGCGAGGGTCCAGCCCCGCACTTGGAATGCGAGTGGGATGCCGAGGGATGCGGTGCGGTGCCGGTGCCGGGGGGGGCGCGGAGCAGTCCACGGGCGGCTCCTCGGGCTTGGCAGGTGCCGCTGCCGCTCCCCGTCCCAGAGCCGGCCCCGTCCTTCCCGGGGGCAGCCGTGCCCGGGGGAAACCGTGCCCGTGGCCGGCAGGAGGCGGCCGGCGGCTGCCCAGGCGCTGGGTCGCTCCCGGCTCCTGGTGGCGCTCCCCTCCATACCTGCGCCCCCGATGGGGAGGAGGCGGTCGGCCACGGGCAGCCGAGGGCCGCCAGCCCCGCTCTCCCCGGGCCCCGCCGCCGCCCTGCAGGGTCCGCGGCCGCAGGTACCGCGCTGGCCGGGCGGGGACCATCCCCCGCTCTCCCCAGGCTGCGGCGGCGAAGCGGCTCCGCCAGCATCCCCAGCTCCACACAAAGAGGAGGCGCGGAAACATGCGTGGACGGGGCGGGGGACGGGGCGGGGGACGGGCCGGGTGGGCGGCTCGGCACCTCCCTGGGGCGGCAGCGACAGGAGAGCCGCCGTGACAGCCGGGCGCGAGCGCGGGCTTTGCCCCGGGATCCTTCCTAAAACAAGCCGCCGATCTTTTTCACAGGGAGCGCCCGGCACCCCCTGTCCAGGCTGTTCGGCGGGATGGCGGCGGGGCTGCGATCTGCGCCCTAAGGAGCCGCTGGGCTCAATCGGCGGAGCCGGGCGCGGCCCAGACCCGGCTCAGCCCCGCTCCGTCGCCGCTCCGGGGTTCTCCTCGCCTCCCCGCCCCATCCCCCCCCCGGCCACCGCAGCAGGCATGGGCTGTTTCTGCGCGGTCCCGGAGGAGTTTTACTGCGAAGTTTTGCTCCTGGACGAGTCCAAGCTGACCCTGACCACGCAGCAGCAGGGCATCAAGGTGAGGACGCCGGCGGTGCTGCAGAATGCAGCGCGGTGGAGCCTCCTGGGTAGGGCTCCCGTTCGGGGGCTGCCTACCGACTGCGCTTCGGGAGCCGGGAAGGGTGCGGCGGTGGGAAAACGGGGTTTCGAGGGGCGAAAAAGTAACATCGTAACTTTCCTTATGGACAGATGAATTGGAGTGACGCGTGCCGGTGGGGCACGACGTGGCTTTTGGGGGGGCTTTTACATCGAGATACTCATTTAAGCGAGCAGGTGCCAATCACCCCGCGGCACTCGGGACGCTCGCCACCACAGGTATTGTTCTGTACTTGCTACCAAGAAAAGAAGACAGAGGCGGCTTTTGCGCGCCCAGGTTGAGTCACTCCCCGCTCCCTCTGCCCTGGGCTCCCTGCCGTGCCTGCCTTGGAACGCGCTCTCTACCGGGAGAGACCGGAGGCAACGGAGCGGAGCGGGAGCCGCCCCCGGGGCGGGCAGCAGCTCGCGAGCGGAGGGATGAAGGTCCAGCCGCGTCCCCATCCCGCTGTCCCGTTTCCCGACCGGTGGGAACAGCTCTGGCTTCGCTACAGCGCGCTCGGCGCTGATGAACTCTTCAAAGTAGTCATCTGCCAAACGCTAATGAGCCCTGACAGAGCATGTGAAAACTGAGATTCTTCTAAAGGCCCTTAACTTGGTCCTGTCTGGTTAAGCCTGATGACAGCAATTCGCATGTCTGAGACACTCGGAGCCCTTGTTCGAAATGCCGGTAATTGGAATTTATTAGCGACGTAAGAACGTCGTTTCAGTGTTGGATGAGAAAAAGAAAAAGAAAATGAAAGAAATCAGTTCTTCCAAAATTTATTGTTGGAAAGGAAACTGTATATTGGAATCATATTTATCAATTTTACCTAAGACTTCCGAAGAATAAGTCTGTATACCTGTATGTTTTCAGCTTATATGATTAAAGTTTGATGAAGCAACTGGGGAGAGGAAAATATGAAGGAGGGTTGGGGGGAAAGGGAGCTTACATTTAACAATATATTTTTAACTGTAATGTGGGTTATTACCAGGTCTACATGTACTGAGAATTTTCAAGCTTTGCTGAATCAACTGCTTGCAAATAGGGTCATCCATGGCAAATCCATGTGTAGCACAGAGGAGTAAGCAAATCACTGTGACGCTGGAATTCAGTAACTGTGTAGGATCTGTGAAGTCTAAGTTTAGACACTTCTGAAAAACCTTGCCTTTAGATGCACAGATGTGGGTATGTGTGTTATGCATGCATATATGCTTTTGGTGCCAGTAAATGTGCAGTTGCAGAAGTATGTTAAAAAGTAATCTGTAAAGATAGTCCTCTGGCTAGTTTAATGAACCTAAAGCCTGAAAGTGAAGTGTTTGTACAGTGTCCAATAAAAATTACTGTCCCATGGGAAAGAAAGGGTCTGAAGATGTAACTTCTTTTCAAGAATGTGTGACTTCCAGTGTTGGGAACTGTCTAGTTTAACGTGAGAGTGTGGTTTCCTGCCATTCTTACTGTGATTTGAATGTGGTATAATGCTAAATATTCCCTTCCACCTGCTGCTTCTCTGTCTTGGATCCAACCACAGAGAGTCATGGCCTCAGTTGGAACAGTATGAGGATCTGATAGGAAAAGTAGTAGTTTGTTAACATTTTGGCATAGGCACTGGCACTGCACAGCAGGGAACCTTAGGGAAAGGAGAATCTCCCTTTTTGTAGCAGCCTGTATTTTTTTTTCCTGCTTTTTTCCCCAAGATTAAAGTTGTATAATGTGAAGCCACACCCCAGTGCTGTAGCTCCACAAGCCTTTGTAAACCTAAAGAGAGGAACTGCATAGCTCTCTCCTAGTCAGTGATTTCCACCATTGTGTTCTTCCTTACTTTTGTACTTGTGAAAGTGTTTGTGCAGCTGCGCGTGAAGAGCAGCACATGTCCAGCTGAAGGGTAACCACTGATTTGCCTTACTGGGTCAGTCTTCAGCTGGATCAGTGCCCTAGTCCACTTCACAGGTGAAGGAGGGCAGAACTGGCTTTTTCAACTGAATCCTGGCTTCTGTCATTTTAAACTGCTCAGGGAACACTTGTTTGTTTTTTATTCTACAACTTTCCACAGAAATTACATTATTATTTCTTAGTGAAACAGGACATAAATTTTGTCATGTTCCGTCATTTGGCACTTTAACCTTGAAATATGAATGTTTCATTATAATTCTTTTGTTAACACATACACATCTAAATGCGGAGTCTTTTATTTTTAATTTTTTTTTTATTTGGAATTTCAGCTTTGGCACCTGTGTGTAGATTGTAAATGTTCTTATGTATTTTATTTTAAAACAAAGGTTTCCTTAGAACTTCAGATTCTGAATGTGATCTTTCTTTTGTCTTTTTCACTTTTAATTTGGTTTGCAGCTACGCAGAAAACACAAATCTTGAACTATTACAGGAACAGAGTTTTTAAATAATTATAGGAGCATCTTTTCTCCCAAGCAGATGCATGTCTGCTAGAAATAAAACCCACAGCTCAATAGCTATTTACTATCTGTGTACTTGCTGGATATTAGTGGATATAGTTTTATTTGCTTTGAAGGGTGGAAGACTAAGCTCTGTGCCTGTAGGAGTCCTAGGCAAGTTTGTTTCTTCAGTGAATCAGAAATATGTCATGAAGTAGATACTTGTCTCCAAACTGCTGTAGAGTTTTGAAGATGCATTGCTTAGCTTGTGTAGTAGTTATTTCTGGCTTGCTATGCTTGACAGCAGCTATCCACATCAAAACATGATTTTTTTTACTTACAGTTTTATTAACAAATTCTTCATACTACAGTGGGCTTCAAATTTTGCTTCATATTAAAACAATGAGAAAAGGTGATACAAGACTAAGACTTGGAGTGCAGTTTTGGGATACTTTTCTCTGTGGACTTCAAAGAGCTTGTTAGGGAAAGGAAAGGATTGGTTTTTTTCTGACTCCAAGTGGGGAAGCTGAGATGCAAAGAAGTCAAACAGGTCAGCATCTGAGCCAGGAAAAAAGTTCCCAGCCCTATTAGCCTGGTAGCTGACGAGTCTGCCACGGGTTATGCTGTCTGAGGGGCTTGTGATGATCCCTTCGTTGTAGTTTCTCAAACTGACTTTTGCTGCTCATAGTTTGTTTTTTTTTTTCTGTTTTCTCACTGTTACTGGTACTGTCTTTCTGTTGTCCCTTTATGTCTTTATGGTTTAAGGTCAGAGTACTGTTGTATGAAAATGTAGAAGCTGGCTCTCCAGCATAATAATTAAATAATCAGGAAAGGCCATCAGATGTCTCATAGTCTTAATTTTTATGTTTCCTTGTAGTACATTAGCAGAGATATTTTGGAGAGTACAGATTTTGAGATAATAAAGTGATTGCAGTTGTTAGTTCAAACAGTTTTGGAATGGAAGAGGCTACTCACCAGATTCTAGTACAGTTTGTTTAACTGAGGTATATGGCCTCAGACTGGGACAGCTTTTCCTCTTTAAAAGGATGTTCAAGTTCCCAAGTAAAAAATGGGTTTTTAACAGATTTTTCTACAAATGTGGTAAGAAGCAGCTGCCAACTGAAAAATAATCACTCTTCTAGGACTGCTACTTTGATCTGTCTTCACCTAGATTAAACAATTACTTAGGCATTTTTATGGTACAGTACTACCTTCGAAGTAGTTATGGCTTATTTGTTGATGTCACGAGACACCTCTGTAGTGTTTTTATATGATACCTGACTGGTGGCTTATGGGAATTACATATTTTGACTCTGTTAAGAATTGGAGTAATTGTCCTCCCAGAAGGAGTTTGGAGTGCGTTATTGCAAAAACTTGTTGGTGGAGGTTAAGGAAACCTCTGTGGGCCCTTAGAAAATAATGCTATGAAACCTATTTGTGATCAGCTGTTTCAGAAAGAGTGGTCATCCTGTAATGTGTATGTAACAGGAATTTAACAACTCTTTTTTTCCCCCCTTGAAACAGTGTTTAAGGCAATTATTAGTTTTCTTTTTCCTGAAGAAGATAAAAATATTGTGAATCTTCTCTGTTTTTTGTTTGCATCTCTTTGGTTGGAAGGAAGATCTCAAAAAAATATTGGGTACTTCTCCAGGGAAAAAGCTCTCTAATTAGTCTTAAGCCATCTGGTCATTGCACTTTTGAAGTATTCCTTGAAATTCCTCTCTAAGCACTGTTTTTACGTCCTGTTTAGATTGACATGTGTAATGGGCCAACAGCAATATTTCATTAGAAAAGTGATGAATAGAAAAGATATAGTAGTTCTTCCTGGAAGACTCTGTTTACAGTGTCTTATTTTATTAGGTATTACACTTTAATAGTGATATTCTGGCCACCATACCACTTACCTGGTATGTTAAAGTGTTAACTGGTACTTCTGTGATATACAAGGCTTTCTGGCCCTCCATATATAGCCCTCTATAAAGGGTTGCATTTTGTGGTTTGTAAGCTACGCCTGTGGGTTGAATCTCTGTGTAAGATACTCCATCTCCAATGAAAGTGGGTGGTTTTTATCTGGGAAATAACCAGACAGATTTTTCCTTGTGCTGATTCACCAAGAATTTAACAAAATGAGATCCAAATATCTAAAAGCAGGCTTCAGCATCTCAAAATGGTTTAAAAAATACCCCTCCTGCCTCAAAAAAAACCCCTCAAACCTGAAATAGTGAGTGACTGATGTTGGGAACTGTGTTAAATGACTGGATATGTAAAAAACACGAATGGGTTCATCAAAATATGATAGATGTTTTAAAGGTATTTATGGAATAATTGACAATATGATTCAATGTGTGAAATAGATAAACGTACCAATTCTTAGAAAGTTTTCTGGGGATTATTCTTTTTTTTTTCTTTTTTTTTTCCTCCCCACTCCTCACTGAAGCTGAGCAGCTTCAGGCTTCATGTCTTCAAAATATAGTAAATACAGAAAATGTGGGGTGCACTTTTGGATCAAGCTAATTTAGCTCTGGGGACAGCAAGGAATCAATGTGGGAATGATAG